TTAAGAGTTTGTTTAGGGATTGGGTTAAAGTGTATGTCCAGAAAAAAACATTTTCATAGTTTTGGATAAAGTTAAGACGAATTAAAACCACTGTCCCATTTTTACAGCTATCTAATATTCCATAAGAGATAATTTTCCTCATGTATTGTCCATGGTTTTACCATACAGGAAAGAAAGAGAAATCCACACAAATGACATAGAATTAAAAAGCTGACAGTGGTTCTAGCCTTCCTTACTAGTTTTCTCTGCAGAGCCCCAGATAGCAAAAGAAAACCCACATAGGGTTCTGATCCCTACCTTACTCTAGTCAAAGCGAAAAAGTATTTGGCCTGGACATACACTTTAAGATAGTGTCCATGCAGGAGAGGGTAAAGTACTGTATTGTATTCTATACATTAGGGTACAAAAAAACCTTCTGTGTCACAGAGTCCCCCTTCACTTCCCCTATACTCACCTGAGCCAGATGTCGATTCAGCGCTGTGCACAAGAGCTGAGGCCAGGGGCGGACTGACCATTTGGAAACTCGGGCAGTGCCCTAGGGTCCGGGGTCAGTAGGGGGCCCATGAGATGCCCCTGGTACCTTTTTCATAGGCTTTTTTGAGTTTGGGCAAGGACACAGGGGCCACATGATCCCCTATTGCCCGGGGGCCCCATGAGTTGTCAGTCTGCCCCTGGCTGAGGCTCTCTCGGCTCCTCACTGTCCCTCCTCATTGGACAGATTGATAGCAGCGGAAGTATTGGCTTCCACTTCTGTCAATCAAATCCAGTGATGAGGGAGCGGTGGGTGTCAATAGACACAGACAGGGAGGCTCGGGAGCTAGCCCACATGAGTACCCCGCATGAATAGAAAGTGGCTTTCCATGGGGGCACTGGGCAGGGAGAGAAGCCAGGAACCCCAAGGGGGGGGGGGGGGGGGGAACCTGAGAAGACAAGGACCAAGGCTGCTCTGTGCAAAACCATCACACAGAGCAGTTAAATACTGCATATTATTATTTATTACTTTAATTAGAGAAAAAGAACGGAAGCTTTAATATCACTTTAAGCCTCATTATAGTGTGTAGGAAATGTAGGGATACTTCTTTCTTTAAGTTTGGGAGCCGCATTGTCTTTGTCTTCAGTGCCAGGACCCTGCCCTGAAAAGTGCCAATACTGGACTCCTGGTGCTGGGAACAAATGGGTCAGTTTTCAGGCCAAGTCAACCAGAAGCTAATTACTGTTACATGGATCTTACTGTGAACACATAAAATCAGGGCAGATCTGGAATTCTAGATAGCAGTGCAATTCAGTGAATGTGATTCCGTTTACCACATTCACTCTCATAGAAAGTTACGTTTTTTATTAATATATTGAGCAGTGCTTTACAAAAAAGGAGACAAAAATACAATAAAATGTATTACTGGTACTTATAGAGCACCATCCATTTATGCAGCACTCTACAAACATGTTGTGCATTCACATCAGTCCCTGCCCTCAAGGAGCTTTACATGAATGTACAATATATATGTAAAGCGCTGCGTAAAATTGACAGCACTATATAAGTATCTGTAATAAATACTGTGATGGACTCTTGACACCCCAACTGGGTATCTCCACTGAGAAGCTTCTTCCTAAGCTCTGGAACTCGAGGCAAGTGAATATAACTGTCCGGCGTAATGATAGTTCTTTCTGGATAACTTGAAAATACAGTAAACCGCAGAGTTCTCCAGGCAATGGTTCTTCTGCAGCCTCAAGCCCATGACACGTACAATCTAAGGTCCCTAACTCACATTCGTACATACACACACTAGGGCCAAATTAACTACCAGCATGTCTTTGGAGTGGGGTGGAAAGCCACGCAGGCACCGGGAGAACATGCAAACTCCAGGTAGGTAGTGCCATGGTTGGAATTCAAACCAACAATCCTAGTGCTACTAGGTGGAAGTGCTGACCACTTAGCCACTGTGCTTTCCCATTTGAGTTCATGGGAGCTTACAATCACTCAAAAAAGGAGAGGCTACAGGAAACAAAGGTAATTCCTGTGAGGGGTGAGCTGATAGAGGAGGTAGAAGTACAGTTTTAAAGTGGAGGAGGTTTCTCTGAAGAGATGAGATTTTGGAAATTTCCCAAAGGTAGACAATGTAGGGGATAGCCTGACAGACTGGGGTAAGGCGTTCCAGATAATGGCGGAGACTGGAGAAATCCTGGAAGTACGCTTTGGAGAAGGTGATACATGTATTTTATGGGGATTTTATGTGATAGACCAGCACAAAGTGGCACATAATTGCGAAGTGGAAGGAAAATGATAAATGGTTTTCAAAAATGTTTACAAATAAATATCTGAAAAATGTGGAGTGCATTTGTACTGAGCCCCCCTGAGCCAATACTTTGTAGAACCATCTTTTCCTGCAATTACAGCTGCAAGTCTTTTTGGGGATGTCTCTACCAGCTTTGCACATTTAGAGAGTTAAATTTTCACCCATTCTTCTTTGTAAATTAGCTCAAGCTCTGTCCAATTGGATGAAAAATGTCTGTGAACAGGAATTTTCAAATCTTGCCACAGATTCTCAATTGGTTTTAGGTCCAGATTTTGACTGGGCCATTCTAACACATCCTAACTATCCTTTTGTCTAAACCATTCCATTGTAGCTCTGACTGTATGTTTCAGGTCGTTGTCTTGCTGGAAGGTGATCCTTCACCCCAGTCTCAAATCTATTGCCGACTCTAACAGGTTTTTTTCTAAGATTGCCTTGTATTTTGCTCCATCCATCTTCTCATCAACTCTGTCCAACTTCCCTGTCCCTGCTGAAGAAAAGCATCCCCACAACATGATGCTGCCACCACCATGTTTCATGGTGGGGATGGTGTGTTCAGGGTAATGTGAAGTCTTAGTTTTCCACCACACATAGTGTTTTGCTTTTAGGCCAAAAAGTTCAATTTTGGTCTCATCTGACCAGTGCACCTTCTTCCACATGTTTGCTGTGTCCCCCACATGGCTTCTCGCAAACTGCAAACGGGACTTCTTATGCCTTTCTTTCAACAATGGCTTTCTTCTTGCCACTCTTCCATAAAGACCAGATTTGTGGAGTGCATGACTAATAGTTGTCCTGTGGACAGATTCTCCCACCTGAGCTGTGGATCTCTGCAGCTCCTCCAGTGTTCCCATGGGCCTCTTGGCTGCTTCTCTGATTAATGCCCTCCTTGCCTGGCCTGTCAGTTTAGGTGGTAGGTTTGTAGTTGTGCAGTTGTGCCATACTATTTCCATTTTCGGATGATGGATTGAACAGTGCACCATGAGATGTTAAAAGCTTGAGATTTTTTTTTATAACCTAACCCTGCTTTATCCACAACTTTATCCCTGACCTGTCTGGTGTGTTCCTTGGCCTTCATGATGCTGTTTGTTCACTAATGTTCTCTAACAAACCTCTGAGGGCTTCACAGAACAGCTGTATTTATACTGAGATTAAATTACACACAGGTGGACTCTATTTACTAATTAGGTGACTTCTGAAGGCAATTGGTTTCACTACATTTTAGTTAGGGGTATCCGAGTAAGGGGGACTGAAAACAAATGAATGTCACACATTTCAGATATTTATTTGTAAAAAATGTTGAAAACCATTTATTATTTTCCATACACTTCACAATTATATGCCACTTTGTGTTGGTCTATCACATGAAATCCCAATAAAATAAATTAAACAAAGTTTTTGGTTGTAACATGACAACATGTGGAAAATTTCAAAGGATATGAATACTTTTTCAAGGCACTGTAGCTGGTGACGGCTTTGCATGTTGTGGTTAGTATTCCTTGTTGCTCAAAGTAATTGTGCTAAAGAGAAATTTAGTTTACCTTTGGAGCTGTGGTGGCTATAGAAAAAAAGAAGTGATGATTATAGCCAAGACTGGTAGCAATAAAAGATACCACAACACTGGTTGCAAAAAAAAAAGAGAAAAGTTTACTTTGTAACTTTGAGGAAGCAAATTTTGTAAAGAATATGGCATCATGCGTACATGGGCTTTACATGTGTTCATGTGCTTTTACACTAGTTGGACTGTGCTTGGCATGAATGGATTCAAACATGAACTCGATATAAAGTATGATGATTATATTTGGGTGTGCACCCTGCAGGGACCTGATATTATACATGGGGTAATCAATCCTAACTGATTGGCTATACACACACGCATGCTTTTTCATGACTATCTTTCCTTTATTCTGGTATTTAAAAATAGTAAATGTAATAATTTAAAGTGGTATTAAATCCAAACCCAATAATGTATTATATTGCAACTTCCAAATTCTTAGTTGCTGTTCCTCAATTAGTTTTTCAAGTTTTTTTTTTTTTAGACTTCTATTCTTTTATTTTCACTAATTTATTTTCATCTGCTGTCTGTTATTTTCAAACTTTCTTTAACCCCTTGCCCTCCAGAGGGTTTACCCCCCTTCTTGACCAGGCCATTTTTTGCGTTACAGCACTGCGTTACGTTAACTGACAATTGCACGGTCATGCAACGCTGCACCCAAATGAAATTTACATCCTTTTTTTCCCACAAATTGAGCTTTCTTTGGTGGTATTTGATCACCTGTGTGTTTTTTATTGTTTGCGTTATAAGCAAAAAAAGACTGAAAATTTTGAGAAAAAAAACAATATTTTGGAATTTTTGCTATTAAACATGTCCAGTAAAAAAAAATTTAAATCAAATTTTGTCATAAATTTAGGCCAAAATGTATTCTGCTCCATGTCTTTGCTAAAAAAAAAATCCCAATATGTGTAAATTAATTGGTTTACGTGAAAGTTATTGCGTTTACAAATGATGGTATATATACTGGGATTTTCTTTTTCTACTAGTAATGGCGGCGATCAGTGACTTTTAGCAGGACTGCAGCGGACATTCTGACACTGGGGGGGAACTTACTTGGTGTCACTGACATCCACAGTGACACCAATACAGTGATCAGTGCTAAAAAAAAAGCACTGACATTGTACTAATGGCACTGGGCAGCAAGGGGTTAATGTGAGGGGCGATCAAATGGTTAACTTTGTGCAGGAAGTGTTTTACTAGGGGGCGGGGGGTGTGTGCATCACTGTAAGCACACTGCTCTGGATGGGTGTGCAGAGCCATCCAGAGCAGTGTGCCTGAGCTGACAGGGAGGAAGACTGTTTGTAAACAAAACAGTCTTCCTCCCCATTGGTGATTTTCAGTAATCACTGGGCACCGGCGGGTAATTACCAACCGGGACCTGGTGATTAACATCCACAGCTGCGAATGGCGGCGCGGGTAGGGCGTGCGCGCAGCTTGCTCATGCCCCATATCCGGAAATGTGAAATCACGTATATATACATGATTTTTCACACAGGTGCCACCCCGTAGCAGTATTTCTGCTATAGGGCAGTCCTTAAGCAGTTAACAGACCCAGGAAAAGTGTCATTTAGAGGGGTGACACAAACTATTTACCATGGACAGGGGTGCTTACAATGATCAGCTTTTATTCATTTATGAAAAACCTTTGTCCCAAAAGGAAAGAAAAAAAACCTTTAAATGCTGAAAAAGTGCTGCTTTCCAAAGGTGTTTCCATTACTTCTCCATCCAGAGTGCAGACACTGTAAGCCAGGAAGTGTGTTACTGGCCAGATAAGCAGGTGAAAATAAAGGAAGAAAAAAAGAAAACTAATGAAGCCACCACATTTGGTAGACCAAACAACATAACATTTTTTTGTGTTTCATATAGCTTTAAGGTTGGATTAATATATATAGAGAGATTATTATAGTCAGAAGGTTTTTTTTTATCTAGTAGTCTATACATTAGACGTAAAGTAGTTGCAAACCCTTATATATACCCAATGAAGTGTTTGGCCTCCAGTGATACAGAGAGATGACACAAATCTTCCTACATTAGTTGTAGCTGTTTATATGCAGTCTTCTCTTCTCTACATCTCTCGAAAGTGCTGAATTTTTAAAGCTTCTCAGTAAAAAGGGGGGTGGAGAGCTGAAATTACACACTGCAGAGCTCAGTGAGGAAAGCTCTGAGAGCTGATTGGAGGAAAGGAGCACAACCCCCTCCACACAGCACACAGGAACAGAGCTGAGGCTGGCAATCTGCTGGAGCTCCCTCCCGTCACCATTTTTCTCTTGGTGTCAGGAAAACTTGTCAGAAGTGACTCATGCTGATAGCTGAGAAACGAAGCAGCAGACAGAAATGAAACTTAGTGCTCTTAATTGAGACAAGTATCCTATAGATGGATATGCTTTAAAAAAGGGTCAACTAAGGAGGAAAGAGTGACAGAGGAATTTGGTTCAGAAAGATAGACAGTCTGCCCAAATGCAGAATGGTTGATCAGTCCACCCTTCTCCACAGATCGCAAATGTTCAAACCAAGTAACACAAACTTTATTGATCAGCTAGAAAGTTAAAGTGGAACTTTACCCATAACGACTTGCTAAAAAATAATGTTCTTTAGTAAGGATTATGCATTCCACATTAATTATTATGCTACCAAAATTAGTGTGTGCTGTAAATTGTCTCCAGCATTGTTCATGTTTCTTCTTTCTGGAGGCGGCCATTTTGCTGAAGCCCAGAGCCCCTGAGCAGCAGTAAATCTTTAGGTTATCAGCAGGGTAAGGCAGTGTATTACTGGATTTCAAACAGTATAGGCATTTTTCTTTAATGTTTTACCTAGCTATACCTGCAAAAGGGGGTACTTGTCTGTTAATTCACCGGATTTAGTTATATATATATATAATATATATATATATATATTTTTTTTTTTACATGTTTTATTTAAATATAGAACAAATATATATTTTTTTTTTTATATATATATATATATATATATATATATATATATATATAAATAAATCCGGTGAATTAACAGACAAGTACCCAAAAGGGACCAGCCTTAAGTGATCTAGCAGGATTTTATTTCCTAATTAAAGTTCCACTTCAGTGAGGAGCAAAACCCCCCACTGCCCAGCCACTCTGCAGTGCTAAACCTAAAGTGTCACTTTAAGTGGCTGGGTTTTTTTTTTTTTTTTGTTTTTTTATGGGGGGGGGGGGTTGTGGTGTGCTGTGCTGTCATCCATCTGTTTTTCACACTAAGGTGGCAAGAGATGTGAATACACATGTCCTAAGCATTCAAATGTCCCCACATGACCATAGGTGAATCTTTGACAGTCCTCGAGGAATAGAATTGTCAGCTGCCAAATCACTCCTTCTGCAGACAAACATTAAAAATAGACGAAAAGAAAAGAAAAAAAAGTTTGGCAAGATTGTAGAGAAGATGTCATTTATTTGAATTTCCCCTTGAGGTAGGTTGGGTTCTATAGCTGCAAGCTCAGCTGCATCAGTAAAACATGATTATTGAGGGTATTAAGCATTCCTGACAAGGTGTTACTTGCCTGTGTGATTTTACCTTAAAAAGTTTATGTTGCTTTAAGGGGTTTAGCAACAGGATAATAGTTTACTTATTTGACTGAGGTTTATTAAAAGAGAAAACACATTCAGCAATAATTACAAGTTAGGAAAGTAGAGACCTTTCTGCATTTGGCTCAGCGTTTCTGGTTCTGGATGCACTGTTCAAAAGTCGTAAATCTTTGGACCTGAAGTATTAAAAGAAGCCTTTGCCTCCAAATATAATGCTCATGTGAGGTCCAGATGACAATGAGCCATAATATATACGAAAAATCACCAGCGCCAAAAATAGTGAAATCATTCCTAAATAAATGCTGCTGCTCATTAGTCTAAACACTAATAAAATAACAATAAAAAACATCAAACAGCGCAAATAAATATTCACAAAAAAAAATAATATAATAAATAATAAAGAAATAATAAAAAAAAAACATATTAAATATAATAAATCTCCCTCCTAGATTGTAAGCTGGAAAGAGCAGGGCCCCTGATCCCCTCATGTTTTGCATTGTATTGGTATTGTTCTGTCACATGTTCTGTCCCCCTTTGTAATGTACAGCGCTGAGCGAACTATTGGCGCTTTATAAATACTGTATAATAATAATAATAAATAGGATGCTGTTTTTTTTACCACAGTTTGGAGTTCTGAGGCATATATCTATACCTGCATTGGGGGAGTTCCATCTAAACCTGGTGATTGGAGGCTGCATTGATTGGGTCTAGGATTCCAAAAAAACCATAAATAAGGCGTTTTTTTCACTAATATCTGGTGAGTGCGGTATGTGATCTGAGCACTAACGGGGGTGTGAACACGGGTCAAGGGTCTTTTGGATAAGGACATTTCAATTTTATTCTACTCACCATATTCATCTCAATATTTTTGTAGTGGGACTATTCTATTTATTCTATTTAATATGTTTTTTGTATTATTTCTTTATTATTTATTATATAAATTTTTTTGTGAATATTTATTTGCGTTGTTTGATGTTTTTTATAATTAGGCATAATACGCAGTGTAAATCCATCCAATTGTCTGTACTCCAGTCAAATTTTTGATAAATGGATGTAAAGAATAATAGAAACCTAGAGACGGGAGAAATCCATAGCAGCACAGTGGCTTGCACTAGGGTTCCTAGCTCAAATCCCAAACAGGACACTATCTGCATGTAGGGGCGGACTGACCATTCAAGCACTTGAGCACTGCCCGAGGGCCCAGGGTCAGTAGGGGGCCCCATGAAATGGCCCTGGTACCTTTTATAGGCTTTTTTGAGTGTGGGCAAGGACACAGGGGCCCCATGATCCCCTATTGCCCGGGAGCCCCGTGAGCTGTCAGTCCGCCCCTGCCTGTATGAAGTTAGCATGTTCTCCTTTTGCTTGTATGGATTTCCTCCCGCAATCTAAGGAGATGCAGGTAGGTAATTTGGCTCTGATACATATATGTATGCATGAGGGACCTTGGATTGTAAGCTCCTTGAGGGTAGGGACTGATGTACGTAAATGTACAGTAAATACATTTGTCAGTGCTATACATCTGCCTGTAATAAATAACTATTAGCCAATCAGGTGCCAATTTACAGAAGTCAGAAATCTGATTGCTTGTTGAAGCCAAATGCCACATCCTTAAAGTGTAAACCTTTGCTTTTTTCATTAAAAATATAAAAATACTTACTCGGTCTGTGTAATGGTTTTTCACGTTGCAACTTCACTCCCTCTTTTCTGATGTCTCCTGCCCAGGGTTGCCAATGCCCCAAAGGGAAATTTACTTATATGACACAAAAACATTTACCGACAAAGCACATTTTTTTCTGACATGACACACAAAATGTACTGATGGAGTCAGATTTTTTTTACTGACAGTTTAAAAAGACAAAGTTAGGCCAAAAACATATTTCTCCTTTTACATACAGGTCAAGGTAATATAACACAGAGTTCTCCCTTACATCAGGGTCTGCAAGGTTCCCCTTTACAGAGCAAGGGGAACTCTATGGACCCTGATGTAAAAGGGAACTGTGTGGACCCTGATGTAAAGGAGAACTTTGAGGACTCTAATGTAAGGGGGTATGCTGTGTGTAAAGGGGGAACACAGTGGGCCTTGATGTAAAGGGGAAAGCTGCAGACCATTTGTAATGTAAAGGGGAAGTCTTTACACAGAATTCCCTTTTACATAAGAGTCTGCAGGATTCCCCCTTACAGTGCAAGGGTGAACTCTGTGGACCTTGATTTAAAGGGGAACACTGCAGGCCATGATGTAAGGAGGAATGCTGCAGACTCTGGTGTGAAGGGGAACTCTGATGTAAGGGGGTCTCTGGGCATCATAGTCCCGAGCATTCCCATTTACATAAGAGTTACCTTTTATATCAGTGTCCGCAGAGTTCCCCCTTACAATGTAAGGAGGAAACCTGCAGACTCTGATGCACAGGGAAACTCAGATGACACTGATTTAAGGGGGATGCAGGGAACTTTGATGTAGTGGGGGGACTTTGAAGACCAAAGACCACATTCTGCAGAGTGAATACAATAAGGCAGGGGTGTTAAACTGGCAGCCCTCCAGCTGTTGCAAAACTACAAGTCCCATCATGCCTCTACCTTTGGGAGTCATGCTTGTAACTGTCAATCTTGCAATGCCTCATGGGACTTGTAGTTTGGCAACAGCTGGAGGGCCGCCAGTTTGACACCTGTGCAATAAGGTAAGGGGGGGTTACTGATATAAGGGGGAACTTTTAT